CAAATAACAAACGTCTTCAACTAACTGTTGAAAATTTGAAATCAATTGCAAAAATTTGTTGTTTTTTTAATAGTAATACTAAAAAAGAACTTCCTTATTTTTCAGCAAATATGACTGAAAGTCAAATTTACAAATTTTTTATGAAGCAAATGGACAAATATTAGAAGAAGAAGAAAATATTAATCAAGAAGAATTGTTACAATTCATAAATCATCCTTCTTCAAATACAAGATCAGCAACTGCTGCTTTGAATTTATTTTTGGAATCATCCTTATAATTGGATAAAAAAGATTTTAATAAAGATTTAGGATATAATCTTAATGATGATGATTCCTTTTCCGATTCTTTATTAAAAGAAAATTCTAAAGAAAAAGAATTAAATAATATGAATGAAGATATTGGTATTTTTGGTTGGAATAAAATGATTTAATATACTGTATAATGATGATGATTAATTAGTTTTAGATTTTTTTTGAAATTGTTTATAACAAATTTTTAGTTTAATCATTTGTTTATTATTATTTCATTTATTAAATAAAGAACAAATATTATTGCTTAATAAATATTATTTTAATATTTAATAATTATTATTTAAACCTTTTAATAGTTTTGACATTTTTTTTTTTTAAAAAAAAGGTTTAAACATGTTTCAATTTTTGAAAATTTCAAAATCCTAAGGTTTTGTTAGGCAACTATACTTTCAACAATGTCTAAACCTTTCAACATTATTTAAACCTTTCGACATTGTCTAAACCTTTCGACAATTTCGACTTTCGACAATTGTCAATACCCTGAGGTTTCGTCAAGCAACTATAAATATAAATTTTACTACTGATCAGATATCTATAAAAACTTTAAATTATATGCAATTCGTTATGGCGAATAACTTTACTTATTATTCCAAAAGTGATTAAATTAATAAAATATAAAGTTTTATTTGAAAGAACATTTTCCGTCGAATTTCTAATTTTTAAGTACCGGTACATAACCGATTCCTCCTCCAGAAAACTTTCAATGTTTTCACAAATAGAGAGCAACGTGGACATGGACGTGAACATAAAAGTAAGATATTCCTCACTTACTTGATTCCATTTGGTTAAACGTCTGAAGTAAAAGAATTTTTTTTTACTAAAAATATTTTACCTCGCGTAAATTATCAATTTATAAGGGAAAAGTAGCGGTGTGTACGATCGATGTTAGTAATTAATACGAAAGAGTGAGTATCGTTAGATAATCGAACGGAGCAGTAGATCGGACTATAAGAGTTAAGAATTTTTGTCATACAATAAAAATAAAAATAAAAAATTTGACATTTTATCAACTGCGGATGAAACTTTTTCAAGTTTTTTCTTTTGCATCAAAAATGGGTAAAAAATCCATAGAGTCTTTCGGTAAAAAAAATAATAATACGGACCCAAATTCTGAATCCAAAAACAATAAAAAATTGAAAGGCGTAAAACGGAAAAGTTATAATAAACTGAATAGTTTTACTGAAGATAAAATTTTGAAAAGCAATAAAGAGAAAATTCTTAAAAAGGTATGTTGACCTTTAAATAAACATAAATATTCAATTAAATAAATTATATAACAATTGTTTTTTTGTGAATTAATATCATTAGCCTTCAGAAGAGCAAATACAAATACCCTATAAGAAATTAAAAACAGAAATTAAAAATTCTAAGGTGACGGAAGATATAGATAATGTATCAAAGAACCGGAAACAGTGTGTTAATAATAAAGTATTGAAGGAGATCACAGCATTAGGTGGATCTAAATCTGATTTAAAATTAATCGAAAGTGTTGATAGTGATATCGAGAGCAATGATGGGAAAAAGTCAATAAATGATGTGAGTTTAAAACATACAACCATGATTAAATCCTGTCAATAATATCAATTTATGTGCATATGTAATTTTTATTCTTAGGAACGATTGAAAGCTGATTTGAAAAAATTAATGAACGGTGATGAGAATGAAGTCATCGAAGATAGTGAATATGACGAAGATGAAGGAATGGAAATATTGGAAAAACAAGAGGTCGAATTTAATAGTCACCCTAAATCGAAATCGAAATTGGTAATTATTCATACATTACATTTATTTAACTACTTTAAGCTAGATATTTATCACAATAATTGTTTTTTTAAAAAAAAATAAAAAAAAAAAAGAATATAGAACCAAATCGATTTTGGTATAACATTAAAGTACAACCTCTTTCAGATTCGAAAGAAAGAAAAATAACTGATAAAATTATTTCTGATATGTACGATAATGCGTTGAATCTTTTAAATGAGGAAAATAATGCATATGAAGCTATTCGTTCACGTCGTAATGCTTCAGATCGTTCCTTTTATGCTACTATGTTAAAATCCGGAACTTTAAAGGATAGATTGGCTACTCTTTCAGTTCTTGTAGAAGAATCACCTATGCATGCAATAAGAGCACTAGACACGTTGTTTAAAATGGCCAAGAAAGAAAATAGAAATGAAGCCGTTCAAGCTGTTGAAAGCCTAAAAAATTTAATGATTGAGTTATTATTACCTCCTAATCGGAAATTAAAGTAAGTTTGTCTAAAAAAGATCATTATTTTAAAAATGCTAATTATTGATTATTTTCGATATTTAGATTTTTCCGTGATCAGCTCATATATAAAGAAAATATATCAAATAAAAATTTAATTTTATGGAGCTTTGAAGATTATTTGAAACGAAAATATTTTGAATTAATTCGCATAATTGAAGTAACTATAACTCTCTCTTTATGAAATGTAATTTTATCTAATAAATTTTCACTAAATGATTTTTCCAATAGATATTATCATATGATGTCGTAATATATGTAAAACTTCAAATCTTGGGAATTATTTTTACATTATTCATGGAGAAACCTGAACAAGAATCTAATTTACTGAAATTATTAGTGAATAAATTAGTAAGTTGCTTCACGCTCAAAGTCATGTATATTATTAAAATTATCAAAAGTTACTTGCAAATAACATGAATTTGATATAGGGAGATAATGAAAAGAAAGCGGCTTCAAAAGCTTCTTATCTTATCGATCAAATCTTTCCTAAGCACCCTTCAATGAAAAAGATCGTTATTCAAGAGATAGAGCAATTAATTTTATCTCCTGCAGCAAATAATCACGCTCAATATTATGGAGTTATCGCGTTAAGTCGCATCATTCTAGCAAGACGAGATAAGGAAGTAGCTAATAAATTAATAGATATTTATTTTGTCTTATTCGCAAAGTTGTTAGAAACCAAGGATAAGGAAATCAAACATGATAAAGTTTCTCGGTCTAAAACTAAAAAAAGGGATATACACGTGATTGAATTTGAGGATGCAGTGGATTCTAAAATGATTGCAGCTCTTTTAACGGGAGTAAATAGAGCTTATAAGTTTGCTCAAGTTGATAATACTGTGTAAGTAAAAAAGTTTAAATAGACGCATCTGAAAATGATTAATATTTTGGGATTTTTATTTATTATTACATCTTTCATCTATAGATTCGAAAAACATTTAGATGTTCTATATCGTATAACATATGTTGGAACGTTTAATATTAGTATACAAGCACTTATGTTGATATTCCAAGTGTCTTCAGACAGAGAGGTATTACATTTAATTGGATGTCAATTCTTTTTGTGGAATATTCTTATCTTACTGTGCATTTATTTATTTACATTTGTATTTTATTATAAAGTCATTGTCTGAACGTTTCTATCGAGCTTTATACCACTCCTTATTAGATCCGCGTCTGGTAAAAACTTCGAAACATGCATTGTACTTGAATCTTTTATACAAAGCTTTGAAATCTGATCCCACAATTGTACGAGTCGAGGCTTTTCTGAAAAGATTGGTGCAAATTTGTGGTCATCATGAACCGCATTTTATATGTGGTGCTCTATACCTATTAGCTGAGGTATGAATTATATGTTTAATGACAAAACTATAACTTTTAAATAAATAAATTAATTGATTTTTTTGTAATGTTATAGCTAATTGTAGCACGACCAATCCTTCGTCCTTTTATTGTCCAATCTGCGAATTATGACGAGGAAGGAAATAATGATAAGCCGAGTGAAAAAAATGATGAATCGAGTACAAAAAATGATTTGTCCATAGAAAGTTGGAAAGATGACACACAGTACGATGCAAGAAAACGAGATCCTCAGTATAGTAATGCTGATAAAACAAGACTTTGGGAATTGGTAAACAATATAACTATTTAATTTTAATTTATTTATTTTTAATTTATTTTTTTTTTTATGAAGTCTAAATTTATTTTATTAGATTGATTTTACCAAACATTTTCATCCTACAGTTGCTTTATATGCAACTCAGATAATTAATGGACAACCTATAAGTGGACATTCAGAACTTCATCTCCATACAATTACACATTTCCTGGATAAATTTGTATTTCGCAATCCAAAGAAACATGATAAAGTTAAGGGTAGTAATCCGTTACTTCAACCTACAGTAACATCAGAGCCAGGAAGAGTGGTAATTAAAAAGGGTACTGGAATTTCTAAAGATGAATTGAACGTAAATTCCAAAAAATTTTGGACAATGGAATTGAAAGATGTACCAGTAGATCAGGTATTTATTTTATGATGTAATTCTTTTATGAAATTATTCTAATTTAGTTATATTATCAAATTAGATTTTCTTTCACAAATACTTTACACAGAAACATGCTGGTAAAGATTTACAAAAAGTTAAGAAAAATAAACAAATTTCTGAGGAAAATTTTGAACTTGATGAAGGTGGTGAAGGTTATGAAAATGAAATCTGGAAAGCCATGAAATCCGAATTACCATTTGACTTAGATTCAAACCTTGAAGATGATGACGACGATGATGATTTGGGGAACTATGAATTCACATCTGATGATGATATGATTGAAACGAACGCTCAAGATTACGAGTCTGACATAAATTCTGTTGATACTTCAATAGATAAATAAAATTAATAATCAAGATTCAAGCGATCAAAATAGCAACAAAATTCTGTTACTCGTTCATAAATGATTAAAATATATTATATGGTTTTTTTTTTAATTTAATGAATTCTTTTTTCATAATTTAAAATAAAAAATTTCAAAATTAAATACAGTTAGAATTCTATTCTAATTTACCTATACACCAAAGTTTGTACAAGTAATTATAAATCAAATTAATAAACTACAAAATATTGAAAACGATCATATTCTTTCTAAATCAAAAAAAAAGGTGAAGAAAATTATAATACAAAGAGAAAGAAAAAGAAAAAGAAAAAGAAACAACAATCAGCGAGATTAATAATCAATATCTCGATTGCGTTTATTTTTTTTTTTGCTGTAAAATATTATCCTAAAAAATAAATTAAAAAAAAAAAAAAAGTAAATTAATTTCTATCACAAATAGTTACAGTAAGAAATTTTGCTTTTTTTTTTAAAAAAAAAAAATAAGAAAAAAAAAATTATATACAAATTATTTTGTTTCCTTTAAACAAAACAGAAAATGAAGGAAATCAAAGAAAAATAAATACAAACAAATAAATAAATAAAAAAAACCCCCCTTAATTATTTTCCGTCAAAGATTTATAATGTTTGACAATTAAAATATTAAATCTCCATTTCTTCTAAACTTTGAAAGATGCCAACCTTTTTTTTTTTGACATTTGAATATCTTTAATCATCCTTTGGACAATTAAATTTTCTGATGTCAAAAATTTAAAGCTCTCAAATAATATTTTTGAGAATATATTCCTTGGAGAGATACAGGATAAGGCCTCAATTCATAAAAAGAACTCTCCTGTTTTTTAAAAAAAAAATATATATATAATATATAAAAGAACCCCAAGAAGGAAAAGAATATATTATCTTAAATAAGATTTTTACATTATATTTCTCACCAAAAGAAAAAAAAAGAATATGTAATTTAAAATAATTAAAGATTAATTACAAGGTGCAATAATAAAAATTTCATTTATTAATATCAACACCACCATGATCTTCATTCGGAATTATAATGGCTTTATCTAATTCCGAAATTAACCCTTGATTTGTATTTAAATTGGAAGGGTTAGCTCCAAACACTCCAATTTTAGGAGCAATGGGTCGCGGTGATGGTGGAACGACCCTTCGCGCAAACATGGGTCGACACTTACCTAAAGAATAAATAAATAAACAAACATGATGAGTTTTTTAAAAAAAAAGAATTTTTGTAAAATGACATGATCCAAGAGAAACGTAATTATAAATTCTACCTTTGTGAATGCGATAATATTCACGGGCTTTTTCTAATAGTTCTCGATCCGCTCGCGTTTTTTCGAATATTGAACCTATTTAATGTCAACCAAAAGATTACAATTCGATTGAGCAAATAGAATATATATAAAAAAAAATGAAAATAAAAAAATAAAAATAAAATATGATAACTACTAAAATATATCAAAAACATAAATAAATTAATAATAGACAAACTAACAAGTGTTAGAGAGAGACCAATGTAATTTTATCATTGATTCCAAAAACATATACATAATATATATTATACAAAAATAAATAAAATAAAATAATACAAATTGGAACATTATCTCATTCTAATGTATTTTAATTAATAAACATTGTAATAAAACGTACGGGCTAAAAGACCTAAATCCCCAGCACGCTGAATTCGCAAGCGCTTGAGCTCATCAAGCGTACCTTCAATGGGATGTGTTGTCCCATCTTTCCATGGTCGTTTTACAATCACATCAGCATCAATCGAATGATTAACACTTGATGTTTCAACAATGGATCTTATAGCCCAATTTTTTGTAGCTATGATTTAAAGATCGTTGAAAGTCGAAATTAATTATATATTTTATTATATCTACAAAGTATTATGAATTCTCTAAATTGTATATATCAAGACAAAATTTCAAATCTACCATTATGTTCTTTAGTAAGAACGCTTTTTCGAAATCTCGTGGCGGCATCACCCTTGAAAGCATTACCCTGCTTTGCTTTCAACCTGCGTACTAATAAGACCCTACTAGTAACTGCTGCAAAATTTTCCTGAGGCAATGCGGAAGTTGTTGTCCTTGGTGGATTTGCTGTTAGAAAGAAATCTTCTTCGGGAATCCATTCAACGGCGAGATAATTTTTACATGAAAATTGCGACGAAAAATGAGAATTATTATGGATTTTCCGACGCTTTGGAAGCTCATAATGTATTAAACGATTTGGAGTTTTTTTTGGTGAGACGTGTAATGAGGTGGATGCACCATGTTTCCTTTTGAGTTTTGGTTCTCCACCAAAAATTGGCCACCATCCATGATTATTGATAATATACTGTTGTAATTTCAAGGCATCAGTCGGAGGTTCCGGAAGTTGGGGTTTTAATTTAGAAACTTCCAATGTCCACTCTGACCAGCTTTGTGAAAATGATTTAATTACTGACCCATGTCGTTCAGAAACTATTGCTGTCCACTCTATCCAAGTTTGTGAAAAGGATTTTAATGCATTGGAATCTGCATCGGATCTTTCAGAGATTCTACTTTGCGTGATAAATGAATTTGGGGCCATATTGACCTTTGCTAAGGAATAACGAATGATAAAATACTATGATAATCTAAACTCGAACTTTTAGGATAAATATATACACCCAAAAACAAGTATGATATTGATATATATGACGTTAATAAATTAACAAGCAAGCTTTATTATTGCTATGCTGACGAGAAAATAATTTGATTATTTAAAGAATTAACAGTAAGGAACTTTGAAAAAGATTATTTTTTTTTTTTTAAAGAAATTATTTACAGGTTATTGATGTTTAAAATTTTTTGTAATTTAGTTTTTTACCGTTCGAGAGAATATTTTTGTTTCCCCCTTTTGTGTAATTTGTATATCCAAGTCTAATGTATTAAAATGATAGCATCATCATGACTTCAAACGCCAGTTGTAAGTATAAAAAGTAATGATTGTTCTTTCATGTAACATCGTAAAAACTCGTATTACAAAACTAGCTTAAAAAGTCATTCAGAATTAAGTTGACCAATCACCCATCTGATCTAACATTAACCAATCATATTTGGATATCTAAATTTAGTATGATCCGAGCAATAATAGCTATTGCTTAACTTGCTTAACAAATAAATGTATGAGGTATTAAAAACATAATGTTAAATATAATATTTATTAACATAATCGAAAAGGAAAATTTCTTTTCTTATCTTTGTTCTGATATTTGCTGCGGAAGGAATGGGACCATTATAAAATAATTTGGTGGGTTCAAAAAAGCTCGGATAATTTCCCTGAATTTCTGCTGTGCCACGAGCTTTTTTTACAACTATTTGAGTTTCACTAGAACACTTTTTATTTCGCCCCTTCAACTATCGAACTTCCCATTTCCCAAACCTCATCACACTTTGAAGTTTCTCACGCTCTCTAAAGGAGAGCCGTTTTTCTTTCAAAGAATAGATTTTTTTACAATACATTTGTTCTTTGTTCAACTAAAACGTGCTTCATCTCAATAATTACAATTAAAAAACTTAATTTTATATTTTTTTATTGTTTTTTTTTAATATATATATATATTTTTTTTTTTCTTTTTTTTTTAAAAAAAAACAGCTTTGCATTTGGTAGTATATTCGCACGTTCAGCCTTCTTCCATACTTTCCTCCTTAATAACCCTTTTGTATAATTTTATTGTTAGATTTATACATTACCAAGTCAAAACACTAAGCCTGTAATATCGTTTGACTATATTCTTTTTTTCTTTTTTCCTTCTTTTCACCTCAAAAAAAAAAAACGATCAAAATGAGAGAATCCAACTTTTCATTTCCCTCACAAAACCGTGCCTCGGTCTGCATTACTTCTGCTCTTTATGACAGAAGAGCGCTTGACTGCACGGCCATCTTACCATTAATTAACTCCCTGACACATCTTACCTACTTAACAAGTACTTCTCCACGCATCCGAGAGATTCTCACGATGGATGGAGGGTTGGAACGCTTAGTCCGTATCCTTAAAACTACGAAAGTGAACGATAAAAGAAGCGGTTGGAAATGGTCTATGGCATTTCAATGTGTTGCTAACGTTGGAGTACGGGGTTCTGAGACAATTAGAACTAGAGTTGTGGATGCTGGTATGGTACCAGTTATTATAACCGTATTGGACAATTTTTTAAAGGCTCTTGATCATGTTAGATTGGAAAAGGAACAACAACAACAACAGCAATTACTTGCTGCACAATTACTTTCAACTCAAAATCCGCCGCTGATCACAACAACCACACCTTCCCCCCCTGCAATCCCACTTGCAGCAAATTTCGTTGGAGCTTTAGAAAATGGTAACGCGTTGAATATTATTCAGATGTCTGAAGAGTCTGAACAACTTTTAACTTCTTATCCTCACTCACCTAATTCAACAACATCCATTTTCCCTTCTTCTGATTACCAAAATGTAACTTCTGATATTTCATCTAATATGCATGGTATTACGCCTTCGAATACAGCAGCTGCTTCTACGAACAGGTTTCTAACAAATGTCACAACACCTTATGATATAAGGTCGTCTGATGATGCAAGATCGGATGTTGCATCTTGGGGTTCGGTTGCAGACAATGAAGAAACCACAATGCCACAACTTCCACAAGCAATTACAGGCACAGCTGGAACAAATATAACTCCAAGCCTGCGACCATCACAACTACCGAATAATACAAGTAACAATCCAACAAATCTCGCTTCGCAATCAACAACAACAATGGAAATTGACGTACTTTATCGTGAAGAAGATATTCTTTTGTCCCTTCAGCTACTAGCCTACCTTTCAAAGTATCCCCATTTACGCGCTACTTTTCACACGGCTTATCCGCCTCATAACGTATTCTCTCTTGTAGAAAAGTTCACTCATCGCCTCCATCCTGCGGAGATTCAATATTGGGCTGGTGTTATCATGCGCAATGCTTGTCGTAAGGATGAAATTCGTGGTGGAATCCGTCAATGTGCTTATATGGCTTGCGGTAAATGGGAAAGTTATCCAAGAGAGTTTGCAAAATGTCGGAGATGCCGTAAAGCTAAATATTGTTCTAAAGCATGTCAATCAAAGGCATGGAGTGAAGGACATAGGTGGTGGTGTATGGAACGACTTAGTCATGCGGACGCAGATACATCTGGACATGGTCAGTCAATTTCTAGTATGGAACGACATAGATCTGCGGATGCAGATACATCTGGGAACAGTCAGTCATCTTCTAGCATGGATACAGATCCACCTGCGAATGGTCAGCCAACTTCTATTTTGGAAAGACACAGACATGCGGATGCAAATACTTCTAATTCAACTTCATCTACAAATTCGAGCGGACACCGTTCTCGTTCATCTCGTTCAACAAATTCCACAGGTAATTCAAGGTCAACAACAAATCGCGAAGCAACGACGGTGACAACTGGTTCGACATCTCACGGCCGTGATTCTGGATCAGTTTTAGTATCGTGATGGTATTTATGATAAATTAGTTAAAGTAGGAGTTTTTGGAAATTTTATATAAATATATATTATTTTTTTTTATTTTTTTCTTCTTTGCATATATTTGAGATGAATTTATTTTTATTCTTTTTTTTTTTTTTTTATTTTAAGTTAGATTTTGTCATCTATTTCATTGTTTATATTTCGTTTCCGGTATTTAGATTATTTCGTGCGGAATAATTGATTGTGCTTTTTATTTTCGAATTGACTTATATTATACTTCTAAGAAACGGAAAGTGTTTGTCTTGCTTAAATTTGAAAATAATTTGTTCTTTATATATAAATATATTTTTTATTATTATTATTATTATTATTATTTTTTTGTTAGATTATTTGTATTTTTTTTTTCTGCGCACTTTTTTCCTTATAATCTTGCTAAACTACACTTTTTTTCTTTTCTATATTTTTGCATCATGTACACAGATTTTGTTTTATATAAGCGAAAAAATTGCGCCTATATTTTCCGTTGTATTGAAAGGCTATTATATAGCAATTACGTGTTTAATATAGAAAACATTCCTTTATTTCCGCAAATCTTTTAATTTGCATTCTATGTAGATCATTTAGAGGTTTTGGAGGTTTGGGATTACTTTTTGTATTTAAATGGGTTGACAATTTCATCAAATTTTATAATATATCATCAACCTCAAAGCTTCAAAACAGGTCTAAGAATGACTCATTTAATCTTCATAATTAATATTCTTTTTTCTTGCATTGAATGCATCAAAAAACTTGATTTTTTATTATTATTTTTCTTAACGTTACATTCAATTATATACATACAAATTTGTACAAATTTTTTATTAGATTTGATAAATTTTTTACTTGAAAAAAAAAAAAATCCGAAATTATTTCTTTGTATTTGGTAAGCATCATGAAGATCTGTGAGGATATTTCAATACCTGGTTCCTGGTTACATCGGTTGTTTAGAGATTATGGTCACGTGTCACGTGTAACCTAATAAATATAAAAAATGTTTCGGTAAGAGTGTATGTTCAATAATAATGCCTTTCAAAGGTTTCGCACAGCTAGAAAACATTTGTAAAGCGTCGTCAGAAGTTGCAGCACTTAACTTTACCTCTCATAATGCGCGTTTAGCTGCTCTCTTAGAGTCTGACCGGAGTAAAAAGTCGATTCGAGATGCTGCGCCCCACGAAAGAAAACTGTTTACGTTTGTAGATGAACTCGGAACAAAATCTCGGTAAATGGGAGTTTTGTATATTAATATTTTCCCCGTTAATTTTATTATTTATGCTGATTTACACGTGATGCTTATGAGTTTTATAACATTGACGCGTACTAAAGACAAGAATTAGAACAACCTACTCCTTTACGTGGTCCTGGCCCTATAACTGTGGATAAATTACTCCGAGCAGCAAACGTGCTAGCTCAGATTTGGTAATTAACCTTTCTAATTTGAATTTTAATCGGGACGTCGTTAATTTAAAAATATATTATTTAGTGATCTCCATGATGTAAAGGAAAGGATTGAATCATTGGCACAACAATATGAAGAAATCACTTCCTCAATAGATAGTTTGGAATCTATCAAGGAAAAGGTAGTTAATTTATGTATTATTTATTGATTTAATTGGAATTTTATTAAACCAAATTTATTTTTGTTGAAATGAATTAATAATAGCAAAGAATAAATTTTGAAAAGCTTAAATTGGCTGTACAAGCGAGAAGTTCGAAACGGTCTAACGAATGTATGAATAGAGTATGTATATATGTATTATTTTTTTATTTATTTATTAATTGTCTTAAATATGGATTCAGATTTTACCGTGATTTTAGGTTAATTCAAATGATGAACTAAAGACCCAAAAATACCTAGAAGAAAGGATCAAATCATTAGCACAACAACATGAAGAGATTATATCTTCAATCGAATTAGTAAATAATTTAATATAATTGCTTTTGATTTAATTAACACATTTATTTATCCTTGTTTAATTAATTCAATCAATAGCAAAGAATAAATTTAGAAAACCTTAAATTAGCAGCAGATGCAAGGAACTCAGATAAATGCATAAATAAGGTATAAGATTATATTATATTATTATGATTTTGAATTATATCAATATGCGCTCATCGTTTACATGGTTTACAGATAAATTTGGCCAAGGATGAATTTAAAAATCAAATATGTCCGGAAGAGGTTTGTTATAAAATTGACATGGAAAAGGCCCCCAATCAAGATCAAAGAAAATTAAATGAGTTGGAATATGACAATGTTATCATCAAGTAAATATATTTTATCTTTATTATCATTGAATAGAGATTTATCTTGGACATTAACCGATATTATGCGATTTGAATTAGGGGCATAAACGATATAATGATAAATAATTGTATAATCAACCACGATCGAAGAGATATGAATATGGACACACCAATTCCTAATCTCTCACAACAAACGACATTAGGTGCGATGGTTCTGCAAATTATTCGCGATACAAATGAGCTTACTCTTAGCGAGCTCAAGATTAAAATTGGAGAATTTTCACGTGAAATTGGATTATCAGAAGGCCAAGGTGTTCGTGCTATTTATACTCTACTTGCAAATAAACTCATAACTATTGACCGATCAAAAGGAAGTTATCAATCGGTTCGATCATTCTAGATTTAATCGTCCCATTGATAAGAGATTATATTTGACTTATTTTTAACTTATATATATGATTTCTTATTCTGATATAATCTTAAAATGATATATTTTCATATCTTCATATCAATGCATGTGATAAATACGTTCTAAATAATCGTTCTATTGTTTTCGTAAATTTATACAAAGCATATATAATTTGATATCATGTATTAATTCCTATCTACCTTAACGGGTGGTGCAGATTTCTTTTGTTTGAGATCCGTAATTTAAAACGTTTGCTTACCAAAAATGACTTTTTGGCATTATCTGAAAATCGTTATCTTTGTTTGTTAAAAAAAATGACAATTACAATATAGATAAGAAAATCAAATTTTTTTTTTTTTGATCGATTTAATCGTATGAAACTTAATTATGTAATTCAAATTTGTAACGTTAAATACTATACACGTCTTTTGCATTAAAAGATTTATTTGTTTGCATATTTGCTCTTATCTGATAAATATTCGTTTGATTGATTTTAAGATAAGATAGACAGCGGAAAGGTAATTTTATCTTATCATTCACGTTACAAAACCGCCAATCTGATCAAAAGTTTCACAATGTCAATCTAAAGAATCAATACGGAGGTTTTTTCCTTATATAAGAACATGTCCTTTTTTGCATGTGTCAACAATTGTCCTCTTATCAAAAATTAATTTTTATACGAAATTTCATTAATTTTATCTTTTTAAAAAAAAAAAAAATGGTCAAAGCTGTAGTATTAGGTGCTGCTGGAGGTATTGGACAACCTCTTTCACTTCTTCTTAAACTTAATGAAGTTATCACGGAACTTGCTCTTTATGATATTGTAAATAGTCCAGGAGTAGCCGCAGATTTAAGTCATATCAATACTCCAGCCAAAGTTACTGGTTACTTACCTCCAAATGACGGTTTAAAGAATGCCTTAACTGGAGCACACTTGATTGTAATTCCGGCAGGTGTCCCCCGAAAACCTGGCATGACGAGAGACGATCTTTTCAAGGTATAAAATTAGAACTATATTAACAATCAAGCGCACCCTATGAACTGTTGGTTGAATTTATTCAACTTCAAATTATTTTTGTTACAATATAATTTAGATAAATGCGGGAATTGTACGTGACTTGGCCACTGGCATTGCTCAACATGCCCCTAATGCTTATGTTCTCGTAATCTCAAATCCTGTAAATTCTACTGTACCAATCGTCGTGGAAGTTCTAAAGAAACATGGTGTATTTGACCCCAAAAAAGTTTTTGGAGTCACAACTCTTGATGTCGTTCGTGCATCTACCTTCACTAGTTCAATCAGTGGTTCAGCTCCGCAAGGAGTTCGCGTTCCAGTTGTAGGAGGACACAGTGGTGTAACTATTATTCCTCTATTGTCACAAATTTCACCACGTCATGAGTTTACTCATGAACAAATTGAGGCACTTACAAAACGCATTCAATTTGGTAAATATATTTATTTCATATCAAAAATCTTAATTTTTATAATATCTAATTATCATTTTTTTTTTTATAGGAGGTGATGAAGTTGTTAAAGCAAAAGATGGTGCAGGATCGGCGACCCTTTCAATGGCACAAGCTGGTGCTCGATTTTCATCTTCGATTCTAAATGCCACCGTTAAAGGAGAAGCAGGAATTGTCGAACCCTCATACGTTCACCTTGATGCAGATAAAGAGGGAGGCTCACAACTTAGAAAAACTGTTGATGGGTTGGATTATTTCTCATCAAACATCGAACTAGGAGTATATATTTTTTTATTTATTTATTTTATATATAAATATCCATCTTTTTAACGTATAATATTTATCATAAATATTTGATAGCCTAGCGGTGTTGCAAAGATTAACTCACTTGGCGATATTAACGAATACGAAAAGAAACTTTTAGAAGCGGCTATACCTGAGCTCAGAACAAATATCAACAAAGGTGTCTCGTTTATCGCTGATGGATCCAAATTGTAATGTATCTACTATTATAAACAAAATATAAATTCGATAATTTAACTTTCGACAATACAATTATAATGTCTTAATTTTTATAAAGTTGTTATTTATCCCTTGGTACACAAAATACAATAATAATAATTATTTTTTTTTTATCTGTGATCGTTTTTTGCTTAATTATAGTTAACGTGAATCCTTCATGAAGAAACGAAACCATGCCAAAAATCGCATTTGCAACGAAGTTAAAATAATATTTATTTCAATTTTGGTAAACAAAAAAAAAATAAAAATAAAAAATAAATCATAAATTAGGTAAGAATAAGTTAATGTAAATTATAATAAATTTATTATTCAACCACACTGAAAACTTTAAGTGGCATAATACTTTTTCACATGATTTTATAAATAAAAAAAAAATTTTTTTCGTATGATTGATATCAAGATTTCTATTAAATGTACCCAAGGCATGAAACGACAAATTGAATTAATTATCAAATGCCGTGATTAATTTGGGTCTTTTTTTTTATTATAAGCAATTCCCACAAAAGAGATAAATCGTTATTAAAAAAAAAAACGAAAAAAAATCTCGAAAAAAAAAAGTGGAGCTATGAATGTCTAGAAAATTGTAAAAGGGATTTATCGGTTGTATATAAACGCTAAAAAGATTATCTGCATCAAACACAAACACCAGAAAAACCCCAATTTTTGATACCCCTTTTTTGGGGTCCAAAATTACATGTTACACTAACACGTTCATAGACGCGTCTTAAAATCAAAAAAACATATTTCACTGTTAGAACTTCAAATTTTTAAAAGGCATAATTTTTATTATAATCCTCGTTCCAAAAGATCAAAACTTCGCTATCGTTCCTTTATTTATAATGGTTGAAGAAGAGTATCAAGAATATACAAAGATAGAAAAACTTGGTGAAGGTATATATATAAATTATAGTGGTTTGATTGTAACATTGTACGTAAACATACATAATACGTTATTTAAATTAAATATCAGGTACGTATGGTGTCGTTTATAAAGCAAGAGATAAAAAAACTGGAAAAATTGTAGCATTAAAGAAGATTCGATTGGATGAAGAAGTGGAAGGAATTCCTCCAACTTCGATTCGAGAAATTTCATTATTAAAGGAAGCATCCAAGAATAAAAATATCGTAAGGTAAGTTAAACTGGATATTTTGACCTTTTATTTATTTCTTTTTAAAACTTTATAACATAATTATGTTTTATTATTATTATTATTATTAGGTTGTTAGATATTGTTAACCAGGAACGTAAGTTATGTCTCGTATTCGAATTACTTAAAATGGACTTAAGAAAATTTATCAAGGAACTCCCACCATCTGGAATGGATTCATATACAATGCAGGTAATTCTAAAGTTGAATCATAAATAAGTTTTATTTATTATTTGTCTTTAAATTAATTTTTTTTTTCTTTAGAAATTTATGTATCAACTTCTTGATGGAACATTGTTTTTACATATGCATCGTATTTTCCATCGTGATTTGAAACCACAAAATTTATTGATTGATGAATATGGAGATTTGAAATTAGCAGATTTTGGATTAGCAAGAGCTGTTGGTGTTCCTATGAGACCGTGTACTCATGAGGTATTAAATAGTTGACATTTGGTTTTAGTAATAATTTCATCAATAGTTATTGTTATTTGATTTGATTATTAGGTTGTTACGCTTTGGTATAGAGCTCCTGAAATCTTATTCGGTTCTCGAAGTTATTCTTTCGCTATTGATATGTGGAGTATTGGATGTATTTTCGCAGAAATGTCACTTCGAAAGCCAATGTTTGCAGGTGCGATGTTAATATAGCTAAAATGGATAAGAAAATACCCAACATGAATTATAAATTTTAAGAAATTTTCACTATTATTTACTCTTATTATTATAGGGGATTCTGAAATTGATGAACTTTTTAAAATCTTTAAGTAATTTTATTTTATTTTCAAAAATCATCAAAATCAGCATTGAAAGTAATTAAATTAATTATTATAATATGCAGAATTCTAGGAACACCCAATGAAGATGTATGGCCCGATGTTATAAGTTTTCCTGACTACAAGACGAACTTCCCTCAATGGAGACCGCAATTACTGAGCGATTTTGTTCCGGGGATGGGGCCGCTTGCCATTGATTTGCTTTCGGTATGTGATGTTCAAGATATTTTATTTTGAATACATTATTTTTAAATCGCATAATTAATTGTAATTAATTATAATTGGTTATCAGAAAATGCTGGTTTATGATCCAACTTATCGAATCTCTGCAAAGCGAGCTCGAGCTCACCCATATTTTAATAACAATCATTATTAGTTACATCTATAATATAATAAAAAACTTGAGTGTATCGGTCATTTTTAGATTGTCATGTATAAAAATATATTTGACCCGTGTAATCAATCACCTAATATTGATCAATATTTAACGCAAAGAAATATCAGATGATCGTTTACTTGTATGTCGCCAGGGACAATGATCTCCTGTGGTGAAACTATACTAAATCTGTCGATTGTTTATCTTTAAAAAATTACCCTGCTTTGGGCTAAAATAAAACTTTTTTATTTTTTATACTGTAACTGGTGGTGATCATCACCTCACGTGTCCGAGGATTTTTGATGGTCGGCGACAATCATACTGTATATATATATACTAGCAGTTTGCCCGGGCGATGCCCTCCCCCCAATGCAACGTGAAATTCAATTTATCTTAAAATATATTGTATAAAATAAAACTAACATTAAATATGGCAAAAATGTAGATATACCAATATATTTATAGTAAAAAAATAAATTATTAAATTTATTATAAGCATTTAAACATTTTTATTTATTATATAGATTTTAAAAAAACATTTTGAATATAAATTTTATTAAAATATAAAATTTCTATAAAAAATTTTATTATTCGTCAATTTTTTCAATTTCGGAATCTTTATAATCACTTTCAACCAATGATATAACATAGTCTGTTTTAATATTAGCATTCAAATAACTTTAGGAATATTATTCCAAGTATTAGCATTTGCTTATTTTCTCCCTCTTAATAAAGATAAACCCCATATAAGAAGAGAATTATAAATCACTTCATCATTATTAGTATTACCATTATGCATTATGATTATTACTTCAAAAATAATAATTAAGGGATCATGTTCTTGTGAATATATGACCCTATGATATAGCATTCAAATACAATTTGTAATATGATGCAAATGATAATATGATTTATCTAAAAAAACTTCTAACCTAATTGAAACTTTATTATTTTCTTGTAGGTTTTTAAACTGATATTGTAAATAATGATTATGAAAGATAATATTCGTTAGCAATTTATGCAACATATTTTAATATTCACCACAATCATAAAAATACAAGAATATTAATTAAAATACATTAATTTTTTTTAGGAAAATATCTTCACTTGGAGTAATAATATTTTAGATATATGATAAGGTGAGTGGAAAATTTTTTTTACACAAAATATTAGTAAAATATTTACTAATGTTCATTCTTTTATTTTTTAAAAAAATCATTAATAAACCATTATCTTAAACAACTAAAAGGATCAACCTGTCCTATATATATTCAAGTTCTATAGTATTTTTATTATACATACTAAATATTAACAAAGCTAATAAGATAGAAAAAAATTGTCATTTTTTTTAATTAATATAAATTTATTAGTAATATATATAAAAAAATTATTGATTTAATTTTTCACTTGATAATAAATTACTTATTAAAATAGCATATAAATTTTATATAGTATATATATTAAAAAAAATTTCAGAAGTGATATCTTAAGTAAAAAAAAAATATAACAGCTTGGTATTTTCCTAATAAGTGAATTTATTTATCTATTAATAATCCAGATCAGTGTGTAAAATCTATATGCACAATGTGCACATATGCACATTAATTTTTTGTGTGCACATATTACACAACATAAAATGTGCACAAATTATTACTAAAAATAGATAAATTATGTATAAAAAAAGGTAATTTTACATAAGAAAATGTTATGATTTTCTTATTTTAGTAATAATTAATTAATTTGTGCACATAAATTTTAACTTAGATTTTATACACTGATCCAGATATACTGTAAATAGCAGATAAAATAAATAATTGGTTAATTTATCTTTTAAAATTTGAAAATTTTAAAATATTTAAGGTTAGAAAATGCTAAATTTTTTTTCTTTTACATAAACTTTATATTTGCTAAAATAAACGAAAATAATTTTTATGAAAAATTTGGATTTTGACATTTTAAAATAAAATTTGTCATTAATTTTTAGTAGATCTTTCATTTAATCAGATATTTATAAAAGTTTAAATAAACATATTACCTTTTGAAAAATTAAAGTATTTTATTTTAAGTTTATTTTATTATCTTAAATTGCTATTTTTCTATCCAATTTATCTTCAAATTATTATAAAATTTCTTAAAAAATTTTTTTTAAAAAAGCTATATTTTTTTATGAATAAAGAATTTGATAAAGAATTTGCAGATAATGAATGATTAAGAAATAGTTGATGATTTACCAGATTTTGATAAAAGTGAATTAATGAATCTGTTAGTCAGAGTTCCCATAATACATAATTAACTGATATTATTAATGCTATATTAGAAAAAAGTTTTGTTTGATAATATTTTAATAAAAATTAAACCTATGTAATAGGCTATAATATTTATAAGAAATGTTCAGCCAGGTATAAAATATCAAATAATATTTTATCTTTATAAAAACATCTTGAAAAATATCAAGTAATACCTTTCATTAAGAAACAGAATATTTTAATACTCAAATGAATGGATCTTTTTAATAAAAAAGATCAAGAAGAATATAATAATCACCTTATACAATGTTTAATTTGTAATCTCTAATCTTTTACTATTATTCATAATCCTTATTAGAGTTTTGAATAAGTTAGATTGAGAAAGTTTTTGTCAAACTCAACTTGAGTTAAATTAAGTCAAAAAAATTTTTAAATCTCAACTCAATTCAATTCAATTTGAGTTATATTTAGATAAAAATTTAAAGAATATCAAATATTTATATGATAAATAAAGGTGTGTTAGACAATTCATTCTAGTTAGATGATAAAAGATCATTCTAAAAAAAATAATAAAGAATTATTTTAATAAAATGATAAAAAGAATTGTCTAAAGAAATGATAAATAAAACATTCTGATAGAATGATATAATATCATTTTATCAGAATGATAAATAACATCATTCCTCTAGAATAATTAAAATTGTTTCTTTTAAAGATGAGCATCATAATTAAGAAGTTACAACTTGGTTGCAACTCCTTGTAAATTTATTTTAATATAAAAATTCATAAATAGTTGCAACTCAAACTTAAGTTGCAACTAGTTAAAAATTTTAAAAATAATTATAGGAACCATCTTTAGTTTAACCGTTTTGCTAAATCCAAAATGAGTTTAAACAAGCAACCTTAATCATAGAGGTTTTATTTTTTTTTAATTTCTTTTTTTTATCAGGAATTGGGTTTTTATTTTATGGTGTTTATTTTTTTATTAGTTTTTTTTATTATTTTTTTTTTTAATTTTTTAATTTTATTTTTTTTTTGTATAAATAAATAATATTAATTAATTGTATTTTAAATCATCATTATTAAATTTTCTTACTTTTTTCTTTTGTTTAATGAAGAGATCTCAAAACTTTAAAAATAAATTTATATTTATTGTTATAAATTGTTTTATTTAAAATTAATTCCAATTTTTGCATTACTAAAATTGCTTCAAGATCATTTTAACTTTAATCACAGAAAGGTTATTCTGTAAAATGATATCATAAAATGAACTTTAATTATTTCATACTAAAATGATGTTTGTATTTTTCTTTTTCAGTAATTATTTATTATATCAAATAATTCGTTATACTATACTGAATTAATTTGTTATATTAATAATGAATTTTCTTATAATGAAGGACTGATCAGCTCAGACGCCAACTTCGTTATATTGAGGTGTGACTGTAATTTGTTACACTATAATATATCTACTATATTTCATTTTTTACTATTAATTTGAAATTTAATTTTTTTAAAAAATGTGTAATTCTATTTATTACTTGTTATTTGTTAAAGATGTTACTTACATCTTGTAACATGATATTAGGATTAGGTAAATTTACTTGGTAATATGAAATTATGATTAATATAAATTAAGGTTGATTTATTAAAAATATTTATATTATTCATATATAATTATATAGCTTGAGCTTTTTTTAATAGTAATACTAGAAAAGTTCATGATAGCTTAGAAAATTTTGGACTATTTTTAAGTATAGATGAAATGCATCATATAAATATTTTTATTAAAAAAAAAAATAAATTCTAATATAGAAAATAAAAAACCTTATCAATAATAAAAATCAATTATTATAAATTTTATTTATGTGATCTAACAAGTATTTGGAAATTGAACTAAATTTAAAAATTTAATAACTAATATAAATGTTTTGAATAAATTTATGAAATAGATAAATGTAGAGCAACGGAAGTTTTGAATATGATTTCTATTCTTTTTGACACTCAAAGTGTTATCTTCTGATATTATACAGATTTCTTTCTTCAAATAATGAAAACAAAAACTAACATACCATTATTTTTACTTGAACAAACATATTATATTTAGCTTATGAAATATTACTGATTTAGATTTAAAACTGATATTTCTGAGCCAAAGCAAAACAAACAAAAAAAAATTTTGTTTAAATTATACGTACTTGACTAAATTATTTTTTGAAAGTTGTGATAAAACCATTTTTTACAAAATCAATTCTTGTAGTTTTAAAAATTAATTTAATTTTTATTAACTTCATTGTATTTAACAAATAAACATGATTTTCGGGCCATGCATTTCGTAACATGAAAAAAAAAATAATGATCCAAATTAGCAGGAAACCGATTTTTAGAAATCACATGATAAGTAATGGACCTATACTGCACGCACCATAAAATTTGTTGGTTTAATAATAAATTTTAATGCAACAATTTATTAATGTCATAAAAATTTATAAATTGAAAATTACCCAAAATCAGTGTTGTTGTTAAGAATTCAAGATCTAAACTCACTAATAAAATCAAGAGACAGAAGAAAAATGTTACCGGTCTTTTTTTTTTCACAAAAAAGAATTCTACAAGAATTAATCAGATCTCACTTAGCTTTACTTTTTTTTGTTGTTGTTGATAGTTAATATCTGGATCAGGCTCAAAGTTATTAATCGTCGTTATTTGTCTTGGTCTTTTTTTTTTTCTACTTCCACACTCCCAGTTGATGATATTATATTATGTTTCATGAGACCTAATTCAGATTCATGCACATAATAATTTTGACATATAACACAATATTTCTTTTTATCACGGGATCTGATTAATGGTACCTAAAAGCAGGAAAGAACACCGTTAATTACAACATGAAAAAAATTCTGGAAATAAAAATCTACAATGCTTACACCATAACATGTATCATTTAAACAAATTTGTTCGATTAAAGCCCATCCTTGTAATAAATATTGAGCAATTAACTGTGAGGCACGCTGAGATTGATCACGTCGAAATTGTTGAAGTTGAATCTCATCATACTGTGAAGGAGCTTCATTATTAATCTCATCTACCATTGTAACTGGTGATGATTGCATCGTTTGTGATTTTGATTTTCCGGGTTCCTTATCGCACAAAACGCAAAACCATACTGTATTATCTTTGGAACGTAACAACGGAACCTAAATACATAAATTAATAATTGTTACTTATTTTATATATTGATAAGATTTTTTAAACAGAAACAAATAAAAAAAAAGAATAATTTAATACATTGCAATTTTGTATAGGACAGACGGTATTAGTCATGACCTATATTATCCCACGAAGAAAAAAATACATTAGCATATACTTTATCTAACTAATACCTATATTATAAATAAAAAATAATTACCCAGCCGGCTAAAAGGTATTTACCAATAAGGTTCGAAGCAAGATCTATTTCAGAATCCATGAATGCAGAAATCAATTTAGAGGAGATATAGATCTTCAAAATCCGAATAATTATGTAAAGGAATCCGGTTACACGGATTCATGAAATGTATTTTATCACATGATTAAAGTTTCTTAAATGTCATCAAAATGCTACACCACAAAATTCAAATTACTGATATCGTTAAATAGATACAAATTTTTTTGATATCAAATTATAAATAATGTTTAATTTATACTATATATATATTTGATATAAAAAAGAAATATAAATAGAAATTTTTACTATGATGAAATATTTAAAATTTGTCATTAAATTTACCCTTAGAGAAATAGTGTATGATCATAATCTTCATGATCAAAATTTTATAAATATATTTTTTTTTATTGTTGGTTGCAAATGAAATTTATGATCGATTAATTAATTGATTGTAAAAAAAAAATTTTTTTTTTTTAATGATTTCCGATTTGAAAGATATTATTAGACTAATCTCATATCAAACTATCATTGTCGAAGTATAAAAATACAAAAAAAAAAAAAAAAAAAGGAGAGGATGATGATATCAACGTACATCAAAAAAAACATGTGATTTAAAAAGAAAAAAAAATTTATTTTTTATCTTTTTCATTGAATCCAAGTATAGTTGATTTGTTGATAATGGTCAGAGCACTCATGCGTAAATGTTTGAAAACGTTTTCACGTTATCAAAAAAAAAAAAAAAATCTTTTTTTTTTTGCTTAAAAAAGATTTATCAGATAAAAAAAATTTGTTTTGAAAGAACATGATCTCCTTTTTTTAACTATAAAAGTTAAATAAAATCGAGAGTAAAGATGTACGCCCAAATTCCTGAAATCTAAAACAATAAATTGGATTGATTTATATACTATTTGTTTATAAAAAACATTTAATATAAATAGATATGCATTCTTTTTTGGATGCGCACATTGCCTTTTTTTATTACGTTTTAGTCTTCATATAAAGTGATTAACCAGTGATTTGAAATAAGATCATGATTGGGATTCGAAAAAAAAAATTTAATTGTCGCGGTGGTGATACTAGTGATATCTCATGTGTGTTTTAATGTTCGCGTGACATCATGATTTTTTTAACGGTCGTCACTTATCAGATTCTCCGTCAAATCAATTAATAATCTAATAAATACTAAATGAGTAGATAGGTACTCTAAATATTTAAAATTTATTTAAGTGAAGGCATCAATATGCGTAATGTGAGAAAATGCATTATGCATTAAATTTAAAATAAATGCACATTTCCTCCTACTTTCGCGTAGGAAACAATACATGTAATCAATGATAGTGATCAAGCTATATATTTAGAATCAAACAATGGAATTACTAATCATGTATCACGCGTTATATAAGTTTTTTCTCTTGATGCAATGTTTAAAGGTGACAAATATTTCCTTTATGATTCATATGATAGTTATGATTAGACAAAGAAATCGTCGCTATAGGCGGCGGTATTCATTTGTTACTTGTGTGCATGCATTTTTTTTTTAAAAAAAACAAAAACATGATCTTTTTGTTCCCTTGAAGTTTGAATCCTAATTCAATAAGGATTATCAATTGCATTAAAGATTAGTTGATTAGGATTTTTCCCGTACCACCCCGGAGAAATCTACATTTGTTGTTTTCATGTCGAATTTAGCTGCGCCATTTTCATGATTCATGTGATGAATAGATTCGTGTTTCCCTCATCTTATGGATCAAATGCCTCGGATCAGATTACGAATCGCGCATTAACGCATAAGAAAGAAGACAATATTTAAAATAACACCATATCTCAATTTTCTCAATTTCTTCAAAAGAAACTTGAAACTACAATATGAGGAACATGAATGGTTATTTTATCGAGAGTTGTACTCAAATATCCATTAACAGATATTAAATTCATAAATGAAACACAAAGTCGTAGTGCTGGCCCAGATTAACTAATAAAACCACAAATAATGAGTTGTCACATGAGAAATGTTATTGTCGCAGAAGAATATCGTTTTGCTTCTTCTTCCAAGCGTTATTTATTAATAGCATAACGTTGAATTCGGAGAAATGATTTTTCAAATTATTAATTTTCCCCGAATATTCATGCATGTAAATAAATAAATATATATATATTCTTAAAAAAAATAAAAGTTATTTTTTTTTTAAAAAAAAAAAAAAAAAAAAAAAATGCACAAAAAACTTATCCAACTCATTCAATCCTCCCATAGTAAGTTTTAGCACTTTTCTTTATCATAATGTGTCAGTAGACTTTGTGAATGTAAAAAAAAAACTTGATTATACTAAAGAAAACCTGCATGCACACAAGTGGGAAATAAAGAACAAATGATCAACAATAAAAATACGCCTTTTATTTTAAAAGATTTTATTTCTTTGTCTTTTTGGTTCTTTTCTAATTATCTTCCTATCAAAGTACTCACAATCATGAGAAAAGTTTCGTGTTACGATTATGTGTTTGACAGCTCATGACAGTGTCGTCGATCCTTGGCGCAGTTTGAAGTGGTTTGTTTTTCAAGTGACATACCCTTTTTTACGTTTTTCTACTTTAAGCATATTTCTTTTAAAAAAAAAAATTTCAAAATACACATGAAGAAGAAAAAATTTTTTCAACGACAGCGAACAATGTTTCCTTTCTTAAATTCAAACATAATATAGAACAATGGAACTAAAAATTCAGAATACGAAAAATGCTCCTAAACTGTCCGTTTCCTATTAAAGTTGAATAAAAAAAATTATATGCCAAACTTCTCGTTTAAATAATAATGTTACGATATCTATATATTTTTTTTTCATGATTCTACTTTCTTTTTCTTTGTTTAGTCAGAACCATATGATTTAGATTCGAAAAATCTCTTTTTTTCATTTGATACCGTTCATCACCCCTCGTGATGAATAAATACTGCGGCAACATCAATCAACATTTTAAATTATGGTTTGATGGATCAAAGGACAAAGCGCAAAAAAGCTCAAACTCATGGATTTTCCCGGTTCTTAAACAACGAGATCAATCATAAAGGAACGAGCAAATTTCAGAGATCAAACACGACCAAATCACAGATTTTTATGTATAAACAAAAGGGCAAACCCCGGGTCTTTATTTGTTGTTAGTTATATATACTGTTTAACCATAAAGATATTTTGGGACTAACTGGTGACGATTTAACCATAGCACTAAGTGGGTTAAGGCGGCGGCTATAAGCAATTTGGCGTGCATCTAAGCTAATTAGGAACGATTTTGGGGTAAAAAAAAAAAATAATAATGATATGATAATACAAAAAAGCTTTATAGATATGCATAATTTGATAATTTTTCCCAGTTCCCATTGTCAAGAAGAAAAAAATTTGGGTTCAGCCTTAAAATTCACGTGACGCAAACCTTAATACTCTTTGTTTGATTGGCGCAGAAATCCCCTTTCTTGTCTCATCAAATTTGTTACGATTTAGGAAGGAGGTACCGACATCGACATTACTTACCGATGCTTGTGAGCTCTGGCCACCAAAAGTATTGACATCAAAATACATCAATTATAATGTAATAAAAAAATCCATCCTGATTAGGTAAAACTGGAATCTTAACAAGTTATTCGACAGTCTGTACGAGTCAGGTTTGTTTTAACAACAGATTGACACAATCGGTTGGAATACAATAGGCACACACATTCACTTTTTGAGAGAAAATAAGAAAACGTTTTGTTTTTCAACTTATAAAGTTTAGTACCTCCGAGGTTTAGTTATTCCGATTCCATATTATGAATCACGATGTCTGACAAGCAACCTGCGAAACTTTTGTATTAATACCACATTCCTTTTTGGGCTTAAACCTGTAATTGTGTAAAATATTTGGAATAATGAATCTATTGTTTTATTTCTTACGCCCTTTAAAATCTGTCTTATCAATCCTGTATTTTCTTGATGAAAAAAAATTTTTTTTTTCAAAAAAAACCTTTTTAAAAGATTTTAAATTATTTTTTCCATCAAAAAAAAAATTTTTTTTTAAGGTATATATTATTTTTCCATCGAACAAAAAAAACCATGTGATAGATCTCAGAACAGTAACTGTTTAAGGAAATAGATATTCATATATCAAAAATTCAATTGTGATTGACCTGCATATAAAATTTTTCTTTGAATTTTATTTTGATAGGAATCCAAATGTTGATTAAAATGAACTGAGGAACTTTAACAATACAATCAGGTATAATACGAATATTGCGGGGTACATAAGTTTTTTGATTATTCATCATCCTAATCCTAAAAGGTTTGTGGGTAACATTTTTTTTTTAAAAAAAAAATCTCATCAAATATATGTATTTTCTTTTAAAAAAAAAATCACAAGTTTTTCAACCCCATTATCTCTAATTTGGTCATTCTCATGCAAGCGGAAGGGATATTGCAATTATATGATTATTTTTAGCTTTAATCTGACATGATTTTTTTTTTCTATGCTTTTTTATTAAGGGATCTATTTTTACAAAAAATGCAAGTTTTTTTTTTCTCATCAAGAAAGAAAATCCGGAGAAAGCCTCTGTTTATTCAATGACGACGGCAGGATTCATGGTTTATTGTTGTGACGTTCAATCTAACAAAAACATTGTGGAGTGAAGAATTGTTTATTGCGGAGAAATGTCGTTAGTTCGCTAATAAAGTTTAGGTGTGTTTTGAAAGGATTTTTAGGTTTCCAAATCACTAGATCTCACCGCAGTAAATAAATCTATCACGTGAAACCTTTATTTATATAGATCAAATTTAAAGTTTGTTAATATTAACTTTAAAGAGAAATTCTGAATGCAAATAGAAGAAAGAAGAATTGATTGTGTAAAAATCTATTGTTCTTGCTCGCAGCATTCATTTGATTTAAAATATGAAAATTCTCTCAAATGGCTATCTGACAACGCATACATACATATACGCATACATAGTTTTAGATCAAAAGTGACGAATTTTAAAAAAGTTTAGAAAGAATGAATCACAGAATCTAATGAAATCTCATTCAATTTTTTCGTATTGTTCGTTTGTGCTTAATTGAATAAAAAAAATTTTTTTGGGGTTTATTTTTATGTTTGTTCGTTTTTTTGTAGTTTAAGGTGACAAGGGGATGCGACGGGAAAGCAACAAACGTTTCGTGATCACGTAGTAAAAATTTTTTATTTTTATTTTTTTTGTTTTACAGAATAATACCTAAAACTTCAGATTGATCTGGGAATATTCATTGTCTCATCAAACAAATGTTTTTTACCATATTGTTCAAAAGGATCATTCATTGTTCCGTCAAAAACGATAAAAAAAAAGAAAATATTTGAATATAAACCAAAAATTTATTTGATCTAACTGCGGCGCGGCGGATCTCGGTATCGGTATTTACCGGATGTAATCACGCGTTTTAATACCTACCTTATAACAATAACAATACCTAAAAATAATAGTTAGTATATAATCAATCATAAATTACAAACCATTGATAATCCGCAATACACACGTTTGGTCGCATTTTGTCGAGCTTCGACATTTGTAATTCGATTCATATTATATGATATTATGATAATCTTTAAACCTTATTTGGCTCAACGCTTAATGAACAATGCCTTTGAACAATAATCGAACCAAAAAAAAAAAACAAAATGGAAAAAAAAAATTTTTTTTTCGGTGGTAATAAAAAAAACTGGTTTTAATAGTTACATAGTTGTAATTTTCAAGTGTAATGGGGAAATCAACTTCAATTAAAGTTAAGATTTAAAAGAGAAAATGGGGAGAATTGTTTGTTAACGGATAAGATTTACCACCAAGATTTAAGAAGTTTCGAAAATTTTATTCTCCAAAGTCCGATTTCAAAGAATGCAGATTCATTGTGTAATCAAAGAAAAAGATTTTCTTTTTTGAATTAAAATTAAAATGAAATTTAAAAAAAATAAAATAAAAATAAATTTCCATCCATCCATCCATCCATCAATCAACCCAAATGGTGGTTTATTTATTTTGTTAAGGTGTATTTTTCAATGTGTCAAATAAACAGGAAAACAATTTTTATTAACGCTTATGTAATTTTAAAGATTTTCCGGCATGCCAAGCAGGTATGATATAATAAGAGGGAAAAATTATTTTTATGCTTGAACATACAATTGTCCTTTTTGTGGAAATTTGTATTTGAAAAATAATAAAATACAAAATACAATAAAAATAAGATAAAAAAAAAATAAAGACTCATGCACCCCAGCATGTTCATTATCTCCGTTCATTGTTCAAATTTCCCACCCTTCGAATTTTTAATATACAAAACTTTTTTTTTCTATTCAACATTTTACAATATTTATTAGAGAATGCATTTCAATGTACAAAAAGGCGCCCAGTTGCTTTTCATCCATACAATAGTGATAAGTTTATAAAACTGGGTTAATACGAAATTAGAATCAAAACGATAACTTTATTGTCAAGAGTTCCCTTTTTGTCACATCAAAAAAGGACCAATTTAGGATTGATTTCTCCGAAGTTCATAAGTGATTAAGTTGGGAACTACATATTTTTAGGAATTCAACTGCACAAAAAAATAACAAAAAAAAAAAAAAATGTAAAAAAAAATAAATCATTATCTTCATTATCTTATTGTAAAGGGTGATACAGGAGTACTAATGAAACTTTCCAAGTGTTACCCTTGATTGTTTCTTGAAAAAAAAAATATTATTGTCCTTGGCTAAAGGAGGCTTTGAATTTCGGATTATTTTCCTCAAGAAAAATTGTGCATACAAAAGGAAGAACGTTTTTATTTTCTGACAATACCAAGTGACATATCTGTTACCTAAGAAAAATTTTGAGTTACAAATTTAAGCGGGAAATAATGTAATATTTTTATTAAATAAAGGGGGGAGGGGAGGGAACCGAATAATATCGTTTCGATTATTGCCACGCAAATATGCATATCGAAAATAACTCTTGGTGATTGGGATGTGATACTTTGATGCAGTGATAGTTAGTTAACTCGTCGATTACATTTTGCATGAATTAAAATCGAATCATGAGGGTTGAAAATTTTTTGACGCTTACGGATCGAACAAAAAATAGAAAAGAGATTTTTATTATTATTATTTTTTTTTTTATCGGATTGAACTTCCGAAATCATCGTACACATGTTGGTCGATATTTTACGATTCAAAGCAAAATAACGAATTCAAAAGGAAAATTAAATAAAAAAAATTTTAAAAGGAAATCTATACCTAGAATTAATCGATGAAAATTGCAGACCAACCAACCCGGCTTACCTTTTTCATACAATCAATTTTGTTTAAAAAGAGGATCTCGCGTAATCCATTTCATACAAGTTGGGGGAACCCTGCTTTTTAGGCAAAGGAATTAGGATTAGATTCATGCGCTAGTACATCATTGAATCAATTTAAACTGGACATCATGAAGGGTTGAATTCACGCGATTTTCGGACCTTTTCCCTTGTGACGTTTAAACGTTTCAATTTATACCAGTTTTACCCAAAATGATTCCGGTGAAAGACTTTGATCTAAACTAAGTAAACCCAAGAAAAAGATGATAAAAGGTTAATTAATTAAATTATGGCGGATCCGATGCAGAATTGACCTTTTTTGAATTTCATCCTCATTTCTCTTAAGAATCCCCCCCTTTTTTAAAGTTCAGCCGTCATCTGTCATATCCAGCATCCGCCATTCGTTTAAAACCTCACGTTATGGGTATGAAATAATTGTTTCATATCGTATATATTGATTTTGGATGCCGAATAGCTAATATCCCCCGAACTTGTAAATGCTCAATTTTTTATCTAGTTAAATAATATGTTACTTTTTATGTGTTGCTCATTGACATCATTGAATAATTTCCAACATTTTCTTCAATAGAATAAAGAGACGATGATGAAATAATTTCTATTTTAATGGCTTCAGCCAATTCTTGTCCCTCAATCGAAAAATGATGCAAGTAATAAAAAAATGGCTTATTTTTTTTTTTTACCCGATGACTTATGACTTGTGTTTGTCACCAAGTGTGACAATTTGGTAAAGAAGAATCCCCCAAAATTTTCAATTCTTTTTTAAAATAAATCATTGTATCCCTGAATTCCTTGATAAGCAATGATCTGTCCGAATTGTATCACCCTTTTATTATGTATGATAATATATTTAATGATTTTATCAATATACTTTTGTAGAATCACTCTCTTTTTATACTATCCACTATAATCTGATAAACAATTATTATATCATAATAACATATATATTAATATTCTATTTTATTTATTTAAATTTTTTTTTTTTTTTTGTATTTTTATTTTATTAATTTTTTATTGATGTGGATATATTTATTTATTTATTTATTTATTTATAATAAAATAATTTTTTTTTTCTGAGCAACCTAAATGCACAAGTACAAAAGCACCGCCCCTTAACTTACTCAAAAAAAAAAATTTTTTATATCGGTTCTCTATAAATAAAATAAAAATAAATACCCCCTTCTCACTAGTATTTTTTCCTTGGCTTTCTTTGTCAGGAAATTTGGATAACGAGCGATTTTTGGTTTGGGTTTTTATGAAAGAACTTTTTCGCTAATACTTCAATAAATATATTCACATATAAAAAAGACTTTGAACGCGTCACGACATTATTTACTATAAAATATTACCTATTCAAGAGAAAAAGGAGTTTTAAACTTTCCCCTTAAATTTTTCGTATTTATCTAACAAACCTTTTTGTATTTTAAACAAAAACGACATCATTTGTATTTTTCCTACTTTAAAAAACACAACCTTTTCTTTTCACTTACACCTAAAATATCAATTTCAAATATTAACGATGGCCGCAAGGTATGTATTTTTCAAATGTTTTAACGTTTTATACGACATAACCACTTTTATTAACTTTGACTTTTTTTGTTCCATTCGGTTAGAAATTTTTCCTCAATTAAAGAAGAACTCGAACATTATAAAGCTCGTACAGCTGCCTTGGAAGCAACACTTCTAGAAACACAAGCTGGCATGGAAGAGTTTCAAACAACATCACGCGAATTAGAGGAAGACTTGGAGCGAGAGTTGGAACAATCAGAAAAACGGTACAAAGACCTTAAATTAAAGAATGAGGCTTTAAAAAGTGAAGTTGATGAATGGAAGGTACGTCATTTAAAGAAATCGATTCCCATCTATGGCAATTTGCTCGAATGCATGATTATACTGCGCCTCAAATTTCAATACTGATCGGTTCGTTTACTTCCTTTCGACAACAGCAAAAATATTATCAAACAAAATCCGAATCAAATGTAAATCAAACACAAATGCAACGAGAGCTTGATTCTCTCCGAAGTTTACAAGAAAAATTCGTGATCAAGACACGAGAACTCGAAATTGACTTTGATGATTTGGAGAGAACAGAAAGGTTTGCGTTAATTCCCATTAAAAGTGTTTTGTTCATCTTCTGATAATTCATGGCTAAAAGAAATTTCATTGCGATTCTTTTATTATAGAGCTGCAAAGAGTTCCTTGATTGACTTGGAGAACAAATACAATAAAGCCATTGAGCGCAATGTAATTTTAGAAAACGAATTAGAGGGAAAGAATCATTTGATTGTCCAAGTACAACGTCTTAAAGATGATTTAAGAGGTTTGTCTTCTATAATTATAGTTATATCGCTTGACGACAAAATGCAAAAGAAACAAATTTATTAATTCAAAATGATTTGTTGAAATAGATGTACATATTGAATTAGCCATATTGAAGAACAAACAAGATGGTGAATACGGACCACCTCCACCATCATCTGAACCTGTATCTCCACCAAGGAAAGAAATTTACAATCCACCTCCACCTCAAACAAAACCAACAATCATGAACTTACCAAGATCGGAAGCAATGAATACACAAATAAATTCGGATCCAAACTCAAATCCCGTCAAAATGGTTCAAGAAATGGTTGGAAGAGTCAAGGTTAATAATATTATTATTAAATGTATAATAAAATTTTGCGATCCAAGGACTCTGAATTTACCCTTTTCTTTTTTTCTCTTTTACAGAGTTTAGAAGCTCGCCTTGTTTCATGCCGTTCACTTGTTACACCTTTACTTGCACCACCACCATCATATTCTACAACAATGCCACTTGCATCAAACTCTCCTCCACCATCACCGAAAGCGCGAATGGATTCAACGTATAGAACTTCACTGAAATCATATAGACGTTCTTCCTTACAAAAATCCAAAGCTTTCTCAATGTCTGTTAATCAAATTAGATCCAAAGTTCAATGATTTGACACGGCATTTGTAATGGTGTAACGGTGGTTGATGATACTCTCAGGATTGTCAACTTATCGGATGACAATGAATAATCGTAGGAATGCGATAACTTATTTACAAATTTAATGACTTTTACGAAGACATCTTTATTACGAAGACATCTTTTTCTTTTTACGATTTCTTTTATCTTTTTCTCTACTCCTTTAGTTCTTTTTTTTTAATATCCAAAGATCATTTTACGTTTCATTGTTCGTGAAAATATTTACGGAGTCCGTATCATTGAAGTTTGATAAACCCATACATAGCTCAGCCCTTTGTCAGATTTTCCAAAGTTCAGTCAGTCCATCTTGTAATGAATTCGACAAGATCAGCAGCAGCAGCAACAAAAAAAAAAAAAAAATTAGATCCACTTAAAGTTATTATGTAGTTCTTTGTTTTAGTCTTTAGATCTTTGGTGGAATATATCGTTTGGCATTAATGTTTTTTTATTGAAAAAAGAAAGCTGGCGCCTTGCGACTTTTAAGCACCGCGGCGTACGCGTTCAAATTATCCAAACAAGTAAAACCACCATTAAAGATAAGACACTTTAGTCAATGTTAATAATTAACCTGGGCTACTATATTGTTTCATTCCAATTGAACAATTCAGTACTTAACCAATATGGGTTTATTTTCTTTAAGTTTCATCTACCTTTGATGATTGACGGATGACCGAAAGACAATCACGAACATTTGAAGTCGTAGAAATAGTCTTAAGTATCTTCATGAATTTGAAACTATGTTATCTCTACAGGATTGTTGTTCGCAATGTTCTTCATTATAGGACTAAATTCCCCTTTTATATTATTTCCCTAATTTATTATTCTCGTTGGAATTTTTGTATTATTCTTTCTCTTTGTATCAAATTGTATAATTATTAGATTTTTTAATATTCTATCTTTAAAAAGTAAATTATCTCTACTCTTTTTTTTTTTCCTCTTCTTTCATTATAATATTTTATCATCACATATTTATATATATATAACTAGAGTATCTTTTTTTTTTCTTCCTTATTTCTTATTTTACCAAAAGTATTTTAGAATTATTTTATTTTTTATTTTTACTACCATTTTTTTTTTTTTTTTTTTTTTAGTTTATAAATGGAAAATAGTTATGATTTTTATCATCTAGTTGGGAGGTGTAACGCTTAAATGCGTGGCGAATAGTTTTAAGCTAAACAAAAAAATTAATGTACAGAAAAACTCCCTTGCATTCCCTTTTTTTCTAACGAAAAATTTCTTTCTGGTGGTTGAACAATTTAGTTGTGTTTCGATTTTTACCTTGCTTTTTTTTTGTATATATATGACAAAAAGAACCGGGATCGAGAACCATTTTCTTTCATTCACATAATTTGATGAAAAGCAAAGTGTACATATTAGTTCTATCTCATCTTTTTAAAGAAAAAAAAGCGAATAAGCAGGAAAAAAGGGATATAGAAGGGGGGACTTAAGATTTTTTTCTTTTAAAATTTTCAAAAATTATTATATATCTAAAAAAAAAAATAATAGTGAATATTTCTTCTGTAAAAAAATTTGTTTAAAAAAATAATTAATTTAAAAAAAATATATAAAAAAAAATAAGCTTCTCTTATTTGACATTTTGAACTAAAAATATGTTTGGTTTTTTTTTTTTTTTGAGAATTTTCCCGTGAATAAAATATAGCCATATTAAAAGTCGTAATTGTCGTTTCCTTTTTTTTTTTTAGGTAAAAAAGATGAGGAGACTTCGGTTAAGCTAAGCCACAAGGAATCGTTGTTCGATAATCTTATCCAATTTCAATAAATGATACTTCCTAAACGCGATGCTTCATGTACAATTCTTTTGCCCCCAACGAAATTTTCAAAGAGGTCTAAATACGGTTACGCAACACGAATGATTATACAAACACTACAAATTTGACAAGGTGTTTCCCTATTGTACAATAAAATGAATTCAACCCTTTTATTTTCTCGTGTAATTTTTTAATTTCAGATTTACCGTTTTGTCTTAAAGGATGATAAAATTATGGATAATATGCATGTGATGATTTTTAATAATTTCTTAATAGGTTGTCCTTATATGGTATACAATCCGGATATACCAAAAGTCTTACAGTAAAACCGATAAACATTCGCAAGCAAATTAAATTCCTTTTATATTCTCACAATTATACTAAATTTAATTAAATTTGTTTATTTTACTTGTGAATTTCAAAAAGTTATAATAACGCGATTTTGAAAGCCTGCAAGGCCTGCAAGAATTCGTTCAAGTATTGTAATGTTTATTTATTTACTTATTTGAAATAAAAAAAAAATGTTTGTAATCAAGAAATTATTCCTTTTTGTAATGATAAGGCACGAAAATCTCTCATGATGGGGTGGGTTTTTTTTTTTGTTTTGTTTTTGTTCACTTACCCATTTTTTCGTAATTTTCGAATGATTTGGAATGATTAAATTGGGGCTAAACCAGATATTTGCGGCTTGAACCTTTTTTTTTTGTTCCATTGTTTCAAAAGTTCAAGTAATGTTTCAAGATTTGTTTATTTATTTATTTATTTTGAAAAATAAATGTTGTTGCAGGTGAAATTTATTACATTAATTAACACAATTAAATTCCTAGAATTTCATTGATAGATTTACCAGATAAAGATTAAAATCATCCCTTAAGTAAATTCTTTGTTCAACCGACACAGTAAATGTCATACGTCAGTGAATGTGCATATAATCAGGTAGATTTCAGTTGGTCAATTCGCCATGGCATTATATTTTCATTATATGGATACCATATATGGGGCGCTTATAGAAAATGTAAGCGCATTTCGCTTTGTAACTTATCGAAAAAAGAAATTCTATGTATGTGGGGAACCCATCGAATAGGGGTTCGTTCGGTTAGTTTTTTTTTTTTTGACAAGAGTTGAGGTGAAACGAAGGACATCGACATTAAATGATTTTGGGGTCAGAAATATTTTTTTTTTAGGGGGAACGGATCTTTTCCGGGGATCAAAACAAGACCTTTTGTGTGTTTACGATTATCGCGTTTATGAAACATTTGATTATTTACGAAGAAAAATCGTGCATTTTTGTAATTCTGTAATAAAAAAATCGTAACATGACCTAACATTTTATCTTTCCTATTTTGTTTTTTTTTTTTTTTGTGATCGAACATCATATTTTTTTTTTTATGCTCCGACGTACACGTACAGGTAAAATTTAACTACGGAACACGATGATTAGGAATTAGACATATTAAAAAAATATGGCTGCTTTAAATGGAAACCGTAAACCTTAAATTTTTATTGTACATGGTCACCTACAAGGATATAAACGTGGATAGATGGATTTTCTTTGTCCATGCATGCGTGAACATAATCTCTCAGTTTCTTTTAACCAATCAATTTAAAATTATGATGGGTTCTTGAACCAATGGGATTGCCCTGATCATCACAAAGCTTATACCGGGTGTTGGAATTTCGATTTTCCACCAATAATTTCGGAATTACGCAAGGTATTGATCCAACCCTAATTTATACAAAAACCCCAGGAGATTCTGTTAAAAAGGATAAAACACTTTTTGGCACAGAAAAAAACAAATAATGATGCAGTTATAAAGAAGTCTCAATTAAAAAGGTCACCTGTTTCATTTTTTTTGAATCAAAAAAAAAAATTTATTAATAACGCCAACATGCTTTCGAATTTACCCAAATCCCTTCTACTCTTTTTATGAAAATAATCGAAGCGACAATCCCATTCCCATATAAACCTTTCATTCAGGTTGTTGTTCTTGAACTCTGTTTAAAATAACAAATCAAGAATTGACACATTTGTTTTGCATTAAATTATTCTCGGCGTTTCATATTTTTTTTAAATTTTTTTTTTTTTTCCTTTAAAATAATAATCCCTACATAAAATCGATCATCTTTACCAGTTTAACTAAGTTTTTGTAGTTATTAGAAAGCATACTTGTTTATGCATAATAATGCATTAGGTATCGTCAATAAAACTGTCATATCCAGTATTTGAAAACCGCAATAAGATCCTATTAGGATTTTACAATGGATCATCTATAAATAAAATGGGTACATGAATAAGGATTACGTCATGCTGCAGAAAACGGCATCTTCCATTCCGACATGCGTCATTTCCCCACAAAAGCTTTTTTTTTATAGTTGTTGTTGTATGTCCGAGCTTTTGTCAAATTTTTGAAACTAACATAAAAGAGAAATCTAACATATAATGAGATCGTGTAGGGAATATAGGCGCTATGATCAAAGGGAGAGTACCGAATCATTAGAATGTTGTCATAATCGGGGGAAAAGGTCCGTGAGATCTAAAAATATATATGTATATATTTTTTCATGATCATCTAAAAAATGATGTTCACAAAACTTTTTTTAAATCAAGATTTCCTTCCTGTCTGAAAAAAGAATAAAAAAACTTCAAAACCTTAATTGAATGACTTACGACAGGAATTAATTCTGGTTTTTTTTTTTTTTTTTTTAAGTTTGAAAATCAAAATTCTCTTTTTTTGTTAGTATTACAAAAAGAAGATCTTTGGAATTCCTTGGAAGTGAAATAAACCTGTTTCGAATAGAAATTTCTGATGTATATTCTTTTAATTGTCACATTACGTTACACCAGGATACTAAGTCGGTATCTTTCGACCATACCGTTCTTACTTTCTGCCCCCAAATTAACAAGTCTTGTCAGAATGAACTTTACATATTTGTTTTTAAGATCGACAAAACAAACCTTTCGATAATCAAATGGTACTTAAAATATTTTTTTGCATTGTTCAATATTTGGAAAAAAAAAAATATTTTTAAATAATCCCAAAAAATTTATTCAACCTCAATTAGATTGTGGTCACGTGGTCTAGCATGATTATAATAATCTGAAACCCCATCACTTTTCATTCTGTTGTTTATGGATCTTTCCGATCTTTTCCTCGTATGATATAAATGTTTCATGCCTAGCAAAGTGTCATTCTATAGAATCTAAGAATCGTTATTTTCATTCACTAAAATTTTTGGACACTTTGCAATACAAAAATACAAAATCCGCCATTATTCTTTCAACAACATTGGGGTGTATGCTTCTAGGTCTCGATCCATTTTCGGAGTGTTGTCGAGAATTACACACATTGATTAGAAACTTCAAGGTGGGTAATATAAAAAAAATAATCTCATTATCTTTGATAATGGATGAATAACAAAGAATTCAAATACGTTAAATCTCTTTCTTTCATCTCATTACCTGATATGGAATCTTATATATTAAAAAGGATTTCAGCCAATTTCCTATTATCTAGGTATTTACATGTATTAGGTTACGTTAAATTTATTAATTCGGGAGTAATTTTCTTGATCCATAAATTTATCCATCACACAGTAATAGCACTATTAACGGTATTAACGGTCAACTGTTAATATAAAATATTAAATAAAATTTTCTGATCCGTGTTTATTGATATAAATCTATTCTTATTTGATTACTTTGAATATTTGACTTATTAAGTAATCATTTTTCAAAACTTCTTTACATGAAATTTTATTCTTATTACGTCAAGAAAAGGAATCTGAATTCCAAGCATTTTCAGAACATCTCTCCGTTATGTTCCGAATAATGTCTCGGCCCTATCTTCTTAAAATATTACCCCATAAAAGGAAAATCAAATAATTATAAATTTACAAGTACTATAATTCTTAATTCTAATAACCAAATATCCCATTTTTTTTTTATAGAATTAGGTGTATTTAATATAATATTATTTAATTGTTCAAAAACTTTCTAAAGAAATAATAATTTATTTAATTTTATTAATATCAAATCTCATACAGTATAATGTAAAATTCAATAAAAAATAAGTTAAACAATATTCTAATATAATATAGACGTGTTGTAGTAGAAAGGGATGAAATCCTAAAAAAAAATTTTGAGTTAATGTTAAATCTGATTAATTTTTTTGTAATTTCCTCCCTTCTTCCCTTCCCTTTCTGATGCAAAGTTCCCATATTTAATAGTAATATTATTATTAATATACAATTGTTAATATATATAAACTATTAAATATTTTATATAATTCTATATATAGATTTAAAAATTGAATCAAATTTATTCAAAATTATTTATTTTAAATATATTTTTATAAAATCATAACATTTTTATTTATAAAAACATTATTTTAAAAGTATTTACAAACATATATTAAAAAATAATTAATATTAATAAGATAATAAAAGCAATTAAATTATTTAAATTACAAAATAAATATAATTTAATTTTTAATTTTTTATAATTTTTAATATATATTAATTTTAGTAAATAAGATTTAATAAATTAATATTAAAAAGTCTATAATTATAAAACAATTTGATATAATAAAATTTATTTTTTAAGATAATCAATAGATTTATTTATATTTATACTTTTTAATCATAATATTTTTTTATATAAAAAAATATTATTATAATTATATAAAAATAAATAGTTTTAAATAATTGGTTTAAATTAGTAATACTTGTCTAAACACTTTTTTGAAAAATTGTAGTTTCGTCAAAAGTTTTGTCTCTTTAATATTTTTATATGAATAAATATAAAATTATTATATTTTTTAATGTATTTTAATTCAAGGAATTTAGATCAAGTTAAATATAATTTTGGCAATTAAGTAAAATAATTTCGTCATTAATAAAAAACTAGTTTTGTCATTTCAGTTTTGTCAATTTCGTCATATTAGAAAGGTAATTTCGTCAGGTATCACTAGTTTAAATATAAATATAATTATAAAATAATTTTATATAACAATTTTTATAAATAAGTTTGATTATAAATAATAAAAATTATATTTAAAAAAATTAAATTTTTTATATAATAATTTAATTAATAAAATAAATCAATAATAATCAAATAAATTAAAATAATAAATATAATGTATACATGTAAATAATTTAGTCTTAACAAATAAATTTAATAAAATTCAAATCATTATTTCTCACTCAAAAAAATGATAAACATAAGATTTAACACTAGAATAATAAAACATTTAAATAGAATAAAGCTATATTTTTAGATTTTCTATAAAATAATTTTCAATAAAGTAATAGCAATTCAAAACCAGACAATTTTACTATAAAACTAATATATTTGACCATTCAACATATGATAAACATGATCAGAATACCTATTATATATTTGCTAATTTATATTTCATTATATTAATCATTTTATTTTGTAAAATAAAAAGCATCATCATTTCCTATTCTATTAAAATTAACAAAACAATTAAAATATCATGTAATAAATGTTCTTTTTAAAAAGAATTAATAAAGAACGCTTTAAAAAACTTAATAAAAAAATTACCTTCGTTCAAATTTGATGAAAAGCAAATTTATTATTTAATTTTAGATTTAAAGTTATTTAAAATTATGCTTGTTATCTTACAATACTAGCAATTAAAAATTATATTAATGTAAGGTTAACAAAAGATTTAGTTTTAAGATTTATAA